TTCATGATCTCATCTATTGAAATGACTAATATCTCCACAAAACCCTCTTTCAGATAATTATCAGAAAATGTTCTCACATATGAATGTATGATATGATACATGTCTTGAGGGATATAATCTGTACTTAAATGTGATTGAAAAGAATGTCAGCTACCAGATACTACTACTAAATAGCGAGATTATAATTTATGAACGAACTAATTAGATATAAGATAACTGAATCTTGGATTTTGGCATGAAATTCATTCATTAATTTGGTTAAATGTGATTTTAGCATTTAGGCTGATGTCAGTTTGTGATAGAAATTGTAAATCATAATTCTCATTCTTAACACACTGATTCATAACCCTCATTTAGCTCTAGTGAGTAGGTGGACAATTTCAAGGTAACTTTAGATTCGCTTAAAGGTCGTCCATGAATTATCGTCGCATTGTTTAAACTTCAGAAAAATTGAGGGCATCCTTAATTAGTTATATCGATTAATAGATGAAATGTCATCTACTCAAATCAACAATCCTTTTTGATGATAACGTAATGGATAGTAATGTATACTATCTTCGTTAATAAAATAGTAAGACGTGAACAGTAATAATGGAAGCACTGGTGTTCAACCGAAACTGTTATGAGATAGTAACTCACTGAAGACATTGGTGGATATGTGGCTCAATTTGTGGATTAGTTGAAGTTAGACATTAACACCGTTGGATATCGGCCAGCTCAGTGGTTGACATGTTAAGCGTTCACATGCGCGACCGATAGGTTCCGCGTTCAAGTCTCAAGAGGCGGAATTGTGGATGCACACTGTTGAGGAGCAACGCAATAGGACGAAACGGTCTTCCAGTGCTTCCAGGTTTTCCATAATAGTCTAACTTCAGTTGACTCATGAATTCAACCATTAAAATTAAATGTGTCTATAGAACCATAGAAAAGATTGTATCACAAATTGATTCAAGACTCGTATTATCAAATGAGGTAACGTAATAATCAGGGGGATTAGAAAAGAATAGGAGGACGGAAATAATATATGGGTCAGAATTATGAAATATAATTGTCCATTTAAGGGAATAATAACTGATTACGGTTTGAACTTACGAAACACTAACTTTAAAAATCAAATAATAATAATGACCCAAAACATACCACAAAAGTGAATTAGGGGCAAGGCAGGATGAAAGGTTAGACGTATTGGTTTGGCACATAGAGTTCGGGCTTGAGTTGGTGGATTGCCAATGCCTCAGCAGTGTATGAGTTTTTAACTCGACCTCCCTACTATTCAATTCCTTTGAATGTGTAGATCATTTTAAGAGAAGATTCTGTCGGAGTGATTTGTCAATATTTGATTATATGCTCCTGTGTTGAACTAGTAATAATGTAAAATGCGTTTAGAAAGTGGTCGTTTTGTGCGGTCAATGTAAGCTACCCCACATATTTGTGAATTGGACAACTATCTTTCATAATTCTGATCTGTAAATTATTTTCATCCTTACATTCTTCTCTTAGCCCTTCATTATTACATAACCTCATTTGATAATAAGAGTCTTGAATTATTTCGGTGACCTGCTTAAGTAACTGGGCTACCTGTTCCTGTTATCTAGATATTTCAACAAGTTATGTGTTTCCTTGTTTATTTTAACTCATCATTATGCCTATTAATCTCATAACATATTCAGGTATGTTTATGAAAATGTGGCATCAGTGCTTGAAGACACTAACTTCTGGTCTGAGTCATGTTGGTAGATGCAGACTACTTGGTTGAGGTCCTTGCGACTATCGTAACCAATGATTGGAGACTGGGTGTCATAGTGTAGTGTTAGTCATTCGTTTTAGCCCATAGTATATCTTATTCTAGTTTCCGGACATTCCATTCTACTCATTCTACTTGAGTCATGTTTTGACCTTGTTAATTATTCGCTTGTTAGCCTTGACTGTATTCATGTGGGCGTATATGTATGTACACTTGATGTCCCATGACTCATCACATGTCTGTAGTTCATTTTGTCTGCCTATAAATATTGAGTAATGTTCGGCTTGAATTGGAGTTGGCTTCCCAGCCATCTTCCCTGCGTGTCGTTTTGCTTTGCTATGTTTCATTCATTTCATGTACGAAATATATGTATTATCAAGTCAATTCTCGTTATTCGACTTATTTAATTGCGTTATTGGATAACGTGATTTAAGTCGACGATGATATACGAGAATAGGTGATAACAAACACTCGTACACTCCAAAAGGAGTCAGATCAAAAGGGCCACAAAAGTGGTAAGCCCGCCGACGACGAACGCAACGCAGCAAGCTACGTCGATGAAGAGATTTCTGCACTTGATACATTCGACGAACGCACTCAACGGGTCCAGCTCAATCTCTAATCCGACGCACTCAGCAAAGCCTGTGCAACACGACATGGACATGCACAAATCTTATTATCTTATTGTTACTTTGTCCTCATGTCAATTATCTTCATTGATACATTTGTCGGATTGTTCCATTACAATTCAAATTATCATTGTATGCTTATTATTACATTATTGCTAATATCATGATCGAATGTGGAATTATTAATCTTGTTCGTGCTGTCATTAAATCATGACATTTTCGCAATCATATCACTGACCGAACAAATTATCATTTTATGAAAATTCCACTTAACTTTGTGAGAACTCATTGGGATATTTTTACTATTCAAAAACGTGAAATTTTCCTGTTTTAAGTGAGTTCGTTCCAATTTTTCATGTCATTTTGAACTAATATTGCATTCATTCACTTAGTCGAGGTCAGCAATTTATATTATCACAACATACATTTTTCATTTCGAAATCGCCTCCTATTATGTCTGTGGATGCCTCTAACTAGCTGACTAGTAACCATTACGTTCATTTTATCTATTCTTCCACGTGCATAACTACATGCTGCATCATTTATCACTCAAAAACGCTATTCGAGTACTGCAACTACTATTCTATACCCATCGCATAGTATATCAGAACATAGAGTTTAGAGCTAGTCTCTCAAAGATACACTCTTGTTCGTCACATCCAAGTCAGTCTCATACGTCGCCATCACTAATCATATGTATTGGTATTTTTGTCATGCCTTCGTACGGTTTTGTAACAAACGAGATCGAGCGCATCTCCCTCAAACCACACAAACCACCCTAGGCTTCATGACCAAAAAGGAATACGACTCTACGTACCTCGTCTACTCAGTCACTGTTCTGTTCCTCTGGTCATTCTTCTACTAATACATATTTAATGATAACTCAATGCATCTGTCATAACGCAGACGACAACGTTCACTGACTTCAGATTTTATGATTATTATCAATTGCAGTACAGCAACGAATATCACCCGTCGATGCAGATATCATTTCACGATTTGCCTATTATCATCCTACGAACGGTAACTACGCATTTAAATTCGAATTCACTCGTCGCTAGTCGATGCTATTTATTCTGCTGCGGCTCAACAGAATATATATTTCGCATATTTCACTATTCTTTCAGCATCACAGACCAATTTCTGTCATATTCTACTGTACTCATTTTGACGATTTATTTCGCTGTCATGCCCACAAACAATTTATTACTATTTTCACGATAATTTGAATCACTCATACAAACGTGTTATTTTATCGTTCAGACAGCCATAGCATTAGTACATGTTAATTTTTGTACGCTCATTAATTTTCTTATATTCGCACGTTAACGTTTCCATTTTTGTCCGAGGCCTTTTCTATATTCATGTATTCTTTTGCATAAGTATGACATTTTCATACAATACGCTCACCCCTCATGTGACACTGTACTTTATCGAGTGTTGTACAATTTTTTTTGCTACTTATTGTTAACGTTAGCTTCATATCACTTCAGTGTTATTTTCGAAAACAGACATTTTTTAAATGTGCTATTTTCTACGAGGGGGCTATGTAGTGTTAGTCATTCGTTTTAGCCCATAGTATATCTTATTCTAGTTTCCGGACATTCCATTCTACTCATTCTACTTGAGTCATGTTTTGACCTTGTTAATTATTCGCTTGTTAGCCTTGACTGTATTCATGTGGGCGTATATGTATGTACACTTGATGTCCCATGACTCATCACATGTCTGTAGTTCATTTTGTCTGCCTATAAATATTGAGTAATGTTCGGCTTGAATTGGAGTTGGCTTCCCAGCCATCTTCCCTGCGTGTCGTTTTGCTTTGCTATGTTTCATTCATTTCATGTACGAAATATATGTATTATCAAGTCAATTCTCGTTATTCGACTTATTTAATTGCGTTATTGGATAACGTGATTTAAGTCGACGATGATATACGAGAATAGGTGATAACAAACACTCGTACACTCCAAAAGGAGTCAGATCAAAAGGGCCACAAAAATAGCTCACAATCGATCACAATGGTGTAGGTGTATTCACTCTCTGTCTTACCTTAAACTATGAGATTAAAGTTGCTTTATCTTTTTTTCTACTAAATAATTCTTTCTATCTGTACTAAATCCTTATACACAATCCTTCTTTTATATATTACTACCGTTGAAGCAACCACTTCTATGAATCCAGTGTTCATCTTGTTGTGCTAATGAGATATGGCAACTTGGAACGATGTATATATGAACTTTGACCTACGTTGTAGCTGACTGACTGACTGACTGATGTTTATGAAAAGATTACATTTCACTGTACAAGTTACAAAGTAGACTTATCAGATACATCATGGTTACTGGCAATATGTATCGTAAAGAATAGACATTATTCAAATATCGATTCCTGAACTGTTAACATCTAAACTGTTGATCAATCAATATTGATCGTCACAATCGATCAAAAAATAAGAAAAAAAGGAACTATTTCGTCGAAGGGAAAATTTTTCTCTTTGAATTCTGGCTGTTGTTGTTTTGTTTTTTTAATAATTTTTATTCAAGGATACAATGAGTTCATTTTAATTATATTGTATAACCCTAATGATCATATTTATTTTCATAGAAATGAAACTACTCATCATAATGAATATTTTATCAGTAGTATATAATGCTCAAATATTGTCAAATCGATCTCCATCTGTTGATAAACCTAAAGTTCAACAATCATCTAATGGACTTACTGGCATTGGAAAAACTGGTAAATTGTTGTTGTTTTTGGTTATTACTTCAGTGATTCCATGGAATGCATTTGTTTTTTTATTTATTTCATCATCATATTAACATAAATAATACCATAGATTGTATTATTTCAATGATGAACTAGTATTGTAGTGAACTAGAATACAAACGATCACAATCAAATGTGTTTGAATGCAAAATTACAGAATCTTTTAGTCAAATCTAAGAACCATACATCCAGTTGACGAGTCCCAAATAGGACGAAACGAGCATTAAACTGAATTCCAATTGCTAAACATTATCCATCTTTGCTTATAAAGCTTATGACTTAAGATAATATCAAGGCAGTCCGTACAGGATGTACATATGCTAATAAGAGAGACTGATCAATTACAGTCCTTAACAACAATAGGAAGATACCAGTATACCAACACCAAGTGAATTTATACAGTTAATAGTTTATTTGCAAAATGTCAGTCAAATGTTTCAGACTTCATTGTTCTTTTGTTTCCACATCAATCATTCTTAGTTTTAGTTCTCTTTTCTTTGATCTTCTTTATTTTCTGCCGTCAGGTATTTCATTTTCGATTGATGATATATACTACTTATATCTGTTGACATTAGTAGTACATACAATAATATGATTTATTTGAGCATTTGAATTATTAACTATTATCAGAGTATAATGACACTGAAAGTTTAAAGCATCTGGTACTGACATAAATTGTTTGAACTTATTACCTAAATGAACACTCAATCCGATTTCCTAGCAGCTCACTAAAAAAAACCCAGACTAAATCTACACAAAAGTAAAAGGAGTAGATTGTATGAAGAACTCTTTACTATAAGCTTAGAAAATGTACAGAAAGACAAGAGTATTTAGATGGTTACACACGGTTTTAAGCTTTTGAAAATTTCTGGAACTTTAATAACTATAGTAACAGCCATAAGTCAGTATCCAATCAGAACTATGGAACGTGGTTCTGTATTTTCTAGATATGTTTGCAAAGATTCTATCCAATACTAATTGGATAAAGCGTTTTCTGAAATTTTTGAACCCCTATGAACTTTGACGGGGGATATTTCTGTAACTCTTCCAACATATTCAATAACGTTATTTTCCAGATCATGATATAAATACGAACACATGAATATTGGTACAAAGTGGCACCGAATACGTATGTGCCATAAAAATCACTTGATTTGTTTGTGGATTAGGATACTACCCGAGTGCTCAGACTGAATCGGGTGTTTTTCTTAGGAGGCCACATCCGGATCCTTTGACCCGAAGTTCTAATCCAAAATGCAGTGGAGCAACGTCAGGAGATGCAGTCCCATGGTAGCCGGTGATCAATAGTCTCTACATACGCCATTTGTTCGCTCAGCATCTTGGAGCCCATGTGAAACATTGGTTTGTAATCAGAGTATTGCTACCCCCCTATGTGGATCCTCCATACTCACCAACCCGTCTAAAGTTTTTTCTCCTTTCAACATCGTAGACAACACCCCCACCACGAGAAGGCAATGAGTAGGACTTCCCTGACAGTGGTTATATACTCGTGGCTATTTGAGAGCATTTGGAGAGGGAGAGTTGACTCACCCCACCCCCGGCCGTACCAGGACACTCAGGGGCTATTATGATTTAGTAATTACATGTATGCGTTTTTGAACAACTGTAAGTAGATGTATGAAATATCATACATAATGGAATTCCAAAAGACTAGATGGGAGTGGAAATATTTCAGATAGATATCTTACGCAAATACCTTGACACAAAACACTTGAGAGATAAATTTAAAGGAAGACTGTTTTAAAAAAAATGCCACAAAATACAACTATTCTCAATCAAATGAAGTGTATGGTTTGTTCATCGTAGTATCGTTTCACAACGAGATGCAGGTACATCCAGATGACGAGTTCCAAAGAGGACAAAACACGCGTCATCAAACTATCCGTCTTTGCTTATAAAGCTTATGACTTAAGGCAATATCAAGGCAGTCCACACAGGATGCACATATACCAATAAGAAACTGATCAATTGCAATCCCAAACAACAATGGAAGGACACAAGTAAACAACACTAAATGTATTTAAACTTCACCTCAATCCACAAGCAAGTGGCTATCACGACTCAGCAGTAGCTAAAGCGGATAATGCAATGGCGTTTGAAGCGAACGGTATTGAGTTCGAGTCCCAGAGTGAACACCAATTCTGATATGCAGGTACATCCAGATGACGAGTCTCAGATAAGACGAAACGTGCGTTCTTAATTCCACTGTTAACCACTTTCCATGTTTGCTCATAAAACTTTTGACCTAGCACCATATCAAGGCAGTCCACACAGGATGCGGATATGCCAAAAAAGACTGATCAATTGCAGATCAAAAAACAATGGAAAGATACAAGTAAACAACACCAAGTGAATTTATATAACACAATATTGTGAACAAAACTTTCCATAAATAGACTGAATAAAACAAAAAATCAATGGAGTTCAGCGCAGACCAACCCCACAAAAATGATAATATAAATAAACTGTATACTTTTCAATGTTCCGTTCATCATTATAAGGTGAATGTAAAGAATCTAATAGCTTGTCAACTAATTCTAAGTAAAATATAAGAGAACTAATCTGTGGAGTGAAGCACACTACTGTTCAATTCAATATATGGTTTGCAACTAATTCTTGAACTAAACAGTATTATTTTAATAGTTGGATTCATCATCGAAAACCTGGAAGTACTGAGCGATCGTTTCATCCTAGTATGGAACTTCTCAGCAGTGCACATCCACAATCACACATGTGAGACTCGAACCCAGAAGCTATCGGTCTCGCGCGCGAACGCTTAACCTCTCGATCACTGAGATGACCGACATCCGATGGTATTAATGTCTAACTTCAAACGATCCATGATTTTGCGTCACCCATGAATTCAACTATTCAAATCACTACAATCTTCATAAAAAACCCCATTCTGATAAATAGTAATACACAAACATCAGTATAGTTGGCATATCCCGATAAGAATACTGAATGGTAACTCTTGGAATCCATTTATGGACCAATACTATGCGTATATATTTATCGTAGAATTGTTAAGTAACCAAACTATTCATATTCATATCTCTCTTATTATGAGATTTATTTTGACCTATGAAGTGTTATTATACGATTTACCATTCTTGAATTATGCCCTGTCCATTAATTACTACCTCTTACATTCACAGCCACATTTGGCCAAACCTTGTACAAATGTTGTTTCATATTTCATGGTACGATATGGTCTGTCTGGTTGGTATATAAACCCAGTATGCTTGAAATAAACTATTCATATCGCAGAGTCTGAGATTGGTGTTCTGGACTTAAGTGGCTGGGCTAGGCAAGAAGCAGGATCAATAAATACTCTAGACTGTTCGTACGGGTTTTAGGCGTCATTGGTCCGATCGATAATTCATTGCTCTTCTCTAATTAACGATATCATTAAGTGATAATATTAACAAGTCACAGAAGTCACAAATCATAACAATAGTCTACAGTATCAGAATAATAAGTACTACTGTTTAAAGGAGTAACTCCACGTCATCAATATTCTACAACTGATTGTCTATCTCATAAGATTATTATTGTATTATATTTAAACCGGTATTTTAATTTATTTTTCTTCAGTAGTGGATATTCAAATTAATGGAGCTTTATTGGCAAATGCAAAGACAGATGAACTGATCAGATGGGATCCTATTTATGATAATTCTAATTCAAATGATTACATGAAACTATCTATTACAATCCGTCGTTTGGTAATGTTCATTTTTATTATTTATCATGTATAATGAATATTCATGGTAAACCATAAGGTTATATGTCAATAAGAGACTGATCAATTACAGTCCTAAACAATAATGGAAGGATACAAGTAAACAACACCAAGTGTATTTAAACTTCATATCATTGCACAAACAAATGGATATCATGACTCAGTAGTAGTTAAAGTGGATAATGCAATGGCGTTTGAAGTGAACGATACTGGGTTCGAGTCTCAGAGTGAACATCAACTCTGAGATGCAGGTAAATTAAGATGACGAATCTCAAATAGGATGAAATGAGCGTCAAACTGGATTTCACTGCTAACCACTATTCATTTTTACTTAGAATGAAGCGTATATTTGGAAAAAAAGAAAAGTGTTGGAAGGGATGAAGAAAAATAAGTTAACAAAGAGTATGGAAAATAATAACAAATAAAACCATTTAATAAGGCCAAGGAAGAGATAAAGGTGTTACAAATTTCTTATGAACACAAAGACTTGGATGGTTAGCTGTAATTCCTACATCTTCTGTTATGTGTAAGAGACGAGATCGAACCCCATAAAGATAACTAATAGGAATACGACAATTCACTTTAAATGATCTATTTCTGTCTACTACATGACCACTATCGATCAAGTGTGATAGAACAGAACTGTGTATTGTTCCGACGGTACCATTTCCTAACCACGAACGGAGGTATTCACTAACTCATTATTATTTTCAGAGAATAATCTTAGTAAATTTGAATTTTTAATATCGAACTCTGATAAATATGTTACACAATAAATATATCAATGTTATTATTTAGATTGGAAAATTGGTTAAACTGGCTATTCCTCCAGGATCCGATGATGGAGATTTTGGAAAAGTTATACTTTCTAAAGTATATATTCCTATTACAGGATCTCAAGTGTTTGGTGGAGTGACAGCCACGCTGTCAGTGAGGTTTTTATATCCTAATGCACAAAAACTAAATATCGATTCAATAATGGATCATTTAAAATCTAGTTATGTTCGTAATAGCGAAATATCATCCTTGAAAATCATCCAACTTAAAGTGAATGGTAAGAATTCGCCAATTCGAATTCCTATTTTATCCAGTTATTACCATTGTTCTTCACTTGAAGCTTATGTACATCAAACCTATATTGATCATTTAATAGTTGAATTCACTAGTCAATTGAAGCTAGATTACCATGGAAAACCTGCGAGCACTGGACAGGCGTTTCGCCCAAGTATGGGACTCCTCAAACGTGTATGTCCACCACCCCGCCCCGTGAGATTCGAACCTAGGATTTATCAGTCTCGCGTGCAAGCACTTAACCTCTCGACCACTGAGCTGGCCGGTATCCAACGGTGTTAATGTCTAACTTCAACCGGTGCACGAAGTTGCGCTACCATCCGCCTAGCTTCGATTGACTCATGAATTCAACTATTGAATTACTATAATATCCACAAAACCTCTCCCTGATTATACTCTACTGACCACTTGATTCCTAGACCTAAGTTCAAGCAAAAAAAGACATGAATTAACTTTCTGATATTATCAATCCAAGCATTCATGAATTTATATACACAAATATTAGACTATATCACATTATCAAATAGAAAATTATAGTTATACACTTACTTGAATAATTTTTCTGGTTAGCATTTTTCCGGCGAGTTAGTTTTTTACAGGATGGGGTCGATAACCCCATGCCCAGTCGTCCTCTTTTATCCGGGCTTGGGACGGGCAGTAGCTCAAGAGGGACTTCAGGAGGAGTTACACAAGAACAGGTCGAATGTGATAGTGAATCATACAGGGTGTAGCTTGTAACAATAATATGTACAGTAATAGTTATTGAGACAAATGGAAGCCTACAGTAAACAGAAAAAGACATTAAATAACTCAGTTAGGTAAAGAGTACACAATAAGAATGTAAATCATGATAGTCCATAGCAGCAATGAAAACCATAACAGTAATGATACTATTAATAAATGTATTTTGTAAACCTACTTACATAACCACATGAAAACTAATGGGAACTATGGTGTAAAAGTTATGGTTGTAGTGTATGCTACTTATATCAAAGGATATAAATAGTATATAACACCAATCAGAACTGAAATGCATAGCAACAGAAGGCTAAAAATATTAAATTGAAAAAACAACAACAAACAAGCAAATAGAAAGCTATTGTGAATTGGAAGAATCATACAGAATATGAAGGATAATTGAAGGAAACATGGGAATGAAGTAACCGATGCATTAGTTTTCACATTTTACTAAAGAGCTCTGTAATTTTATATTGAAAAACAATCGATTGTCCTTATGTGACTTCTTGTTTACAACCTAGTGAGAACGAAAAAACTTCTAATGATATAAATTAAAGTTGATCTTAATTTCATTTTAGTTACCGTCCACACAATAAGAGAAAAACAAGATCGCCAAACAGAAGCGAAAGAAAACACAAAAAAAGGTAAGAAAGAAAGAAAGAAACATATAAAACACACAATCAATAAACAAAACACAAAGTAGAAATAAGCTAAAATGCATAATAAAAAGGGAACAAGTAAAATTATTGACATTAAAAATTTTGAAAGAACTTGATTAAAAATATATAAGATAACGAATGAAAGAGGAGCTCATTGTCACATTGAAGCGTCTCCCTATCTCGAAATGGTTGTATACTGTTTGTGGACGACCTATCCACAGATTCCAGTTGCAGTCGATCGAATGTGGTGGCATTTCGACTGACCGAGATTACCTGTGTCCCATGTGCATTGTGAATATGCAGTGCACATGGTACTCAGTGTGCATCAGCAACACACGAGTCACCACATTCCTTGAGATTTATTGAACCACTTGACAGAATGGTCGATAGCACAGACATATCAATCAGCTATGCCATACAGTTATTCGTTAAATTGTTGACGGTTCTGATGAAATGAACAACAGTTGTGCAGTACATTCGGCATGTTCAGACGCACACACACTACCATCACTAACAAAATGGCTCTGTGATCGCATTGTCACTCAATCCGAAAACGAACAAACATCTAGCCATTGCAACTGAACGTGTATACTGAAACACAACTTCATACAATCATTCAATTGAAGTGTCAGCAGCTGTAGTACATAAGCACCACATTCTATCAACTCACTTCGAGACAAGAACAACTAGGATTACGTGAGCACTCGCTAAACGGTAAGCTGTTATCACGTAGGTCCATCTGAGGCCATCTCATTGACAAGTGAGCATCACATTCTCAGTATCAACATTCAGTACTCACTACATCACAACTGACGCAGTGCTGAAAAATATGTTCTGTTCGGTTATTCCATAATGAGACAGACACAAAGGGAAATGTTTACTACATGTGCATATTTTCAATTTCCTCTCAATTGTTTCTCTCTCTATTTACAGCAGAAAACGTGGAACAGACCGATTCATCTCAACAACCAACAACTGAACTGCGAGCAGTGAACACAAACGGAAGTTTGTCATCACAAAGTGTACTGCCCGAGAACGGAGGTGAGTCTCATCAATCTGTTCACTAACTCATTCACTACATTCACACTCACTCACATTCCGGTTCAAATGACTTCCGCACACTGACAACCATATTGGATCACATGCATCCGTACCAAATTATCCAACCAGTTACTTCATTCCAAACTTCGCCAATTCACCGTACTACTATATCCATAATTGAGTGTTGAGATCGTGCTGCCGAGGAAGGGTGAGATTAAGAGTGGAATCATAGAGCTAACTTAAACTGTTCGTCGACACAGTATAGTATTTTTGCCACAAAGAAAATTAGTGTACGTTCGACTAGCAAGTAAGACACGAACTAATTACTGTCCCCAGACTAGAACTGTCGTTAAAAAGTCCAAAGACGAATAACATGGACTAAATGTAGTGTGAGGGGAATTGTAACACAGTGAAACAGGTTTGAACGAATACAAGAGAGGTTGAAGTGTGAGGATGGATGTGTGCATTTTACGTTCGTAAAAGTAACAGAGGAACACGTAGAGTTCACACATACAAATAACATCAACACTGAAGCTGATCTTACTCGTTAATCCTTTCTATTATTGATATGGAACGCCAAGTCCTCACTCTTAGCCTAATAGTCGGAACTTGCATGTCGCAAGTCGTCCCAATAGAACGTCGAAACCAACACAAGGTCGGAAACACGAGTCAAAGAAGTAGCGAACATCGGAGGACAACCTCAATACCGTTCGGTGGTTGCCTCATCACTAATCGTTAAGGGTCTGAGACAAACAACAGCTTCTATCCGACTAACATGAGTGGATTGGAATCATCGCCCAAACCATCAATGTTTGCTTGTCAGTAACCACAATCTACTTCCTCTTTTGATGTTAGACTCATTTTGAGTGATGGATAGATTACAAGTATATCACACTCCAAGCCTCACATTGCAGACCCTGTTTGGAAACACCATTACCACAAGCGACATGTACAAGTATATGGTGCAGTTGAATTACATGGATCGTTGACGAAATATAGAAAGAGTATTGCACACTAGCATTGGATAAAGTATGAGATTGCCGACAAGATATAAGTCAATATGAATAAATGCATACTTGTCTGTATACTTTAAAACACGTGTCATGCTTTTCTCTAGTTACCACTGACAATGTGACAGGAGGTGGACAGCAGGACGGAGGAAGCACAACACAGACGGAAACAGAAACAATAAGTCATTCAATGCCTTCGCCAACTGAGCATCCATCAACTGAAGGTTAGTCTCTCTTTGACAGTCACATTGTATGTGCTTCATACTTTTACCGAATGACAACTGTTTCAGGCATCGAATGAGGACGGTTCACATCACACTTTGCGTCTCATCCAATACCAGGCTCAATACACCAGATATTCCTGCAATCCTAACATGTCTACAAATTGTTCAACCAACGGTATTGTTCACTTCTCCCGACATCCCGATGGTTGCCGACTGCAATCGGAGCTCATTGTCACATTGAAGCGTCTCCCTATCTCGAAATGGTTGTATACTGTTTGTGGACGACCTATCCACAGATTCCAGTTGCAGTCGATCGAATGTGGTGGCATTTCGACTGACCGAGATTACCTGTGTCCCATGTGCATTGTGAATATGCAGTGCACATGGTACTCAGTGTGCATCAGCAACACACGAGTCACCACATTCCTTGAGATTTATTGAACCACTTGACAGAATGGTCGATAGCACAGACATATCAATCAGCTATGCCATACAGTTATTCGTTAAATTGTTGACGGTTCTGATGAAATGAACAACAGTTGTGCAGTACATTCGGCATGTTCAGACGCACACACACTACCATCACTAACAAAATGGCTCTGTGATCGCATTGTCACTCAATCCGAAAACGAACAAACATCTAGCCATTGCAACTGAACGTGTATACTGAAACACAACTTCATACAATCATTCAATTGAAGTGTCAGCAGCTGTAGTACATAAGCACCACATTCTATCAACTCACTTCGAGACAAGAACAACTAGGATTACGTGAGCACTCGCTAAACGGTAAGCTGTTATCACGTAGGTCCATCTGAGGCCATCTCATTGACAAGTGAGCATCACATTCTCAGTATCAACATTCAGTACTCACTACATCACAACTGACGCAGTGCTGAAAAATATGTTCTGTTCGGTTATTCCATAATGAGACAGACACAAAGGGAAATGTTTACTACATGTGCATATTTTCAATTTCCTCTCAATTGTTTCTCTCTCTATTTACAGCAGAAAACGTGGAACAGACCGATTCATCTCAACAACCAACAACTGAACTGCGAGCAGTGAACACAAACGGAAGTTTGTCATCACAAAGTGTACTGCCCGAGAACGGAGGTGAGTCTCATCAATCTGTTCACTAACTCATTCACTACATTCACACTCACTCACATTCCGGTTCAAATGACTTCCGCACACTGACAACCATATTGGATCACATGCATCCGTACCAAATTATCCAACCAGTTACTTCATTCCAAACTTCGCCAATTCACCGTACTACTATATCCATAATTGAGTGTTGAGATCGTGCTGCCGAGGAAGGGTGAGATTAAGAGTGGAATCATAGAGCTAACTTAAACTGTTCGTCGACACAGTATAGTATTTTTGCCACAAAGAAAATTAGTGTACGTTCGACTAGCAAGTAAGACACGAACTAATTACTGTCCCCAGACTAGAACTGTCGTTAAAAAGTCCAAAGACGAATAACATGGACTAAATGTAGTGTGAGGGGAATTGTAACACAGTGAAACAGGTTTGAACGAATACAAGAGAGGTTGAAGTGTGAGGATGGATGTGTGCATTTTACGTTCGTAAAAGTAACAGAGGAACACGTAGAGTTCACACATACAAATAACATCAACACTGAAGCTGATCTTACTCGTTAATCCTTTCTATTATTGATATGGAACGCCAAGTCCTCACTCTTAGCCTAATAGTCGGAACTTGCATGTCGCAAGTCGTCCCAATAGAACGTCGAAACCAACACAAGGTCGGAAACACGAGTCAAAGAAGTAGCGAACATCGGAGGACAACCTCAATACCGTTCGGTGGTTGCCTCATCACTAATCGTTAAGGGTCTGAGACAAACAACAGCTTCTATCCGACTAACATGAGTGGATTGGAATCATCGCCCAAACCATCAATGTTTGCTTGTCAGTAACCACAATCTACTTCCTCTTTTGATGTTAGACTCATTTTGAGTGATGGATAGATTACAAGTATATCACACTCCAAGCCTCACATTGCAGACCCTGTTTGGAAACACCATTACCACAAGCGACATGTACAAGTATATGGTGCAGTTGAATTACATGGATCGTTGACGAAATATAGAAAGAGTATTGCACACTAGCATTGGATAAAGTATGAGATTGCCGACAAGATATAAGTCAATATGAATAAATGCATACTTGTCTGTATACTTTAAAACACGTGTCATGCTTTTCTCTAGTTACCACTGACAATGTGACAGGAGGTGGACAGCAGGACGGAGGAAGCACAACACAGACGGAAACAGAAACAATAAGTCATTCAATGCCTTCGCCAACTGAGCATCCATCAACTGAAGGTTAGTCTCTCTTTGACAGTCACATTGTATGTGCTTCATACTTTTACCGAATGACAACTGTTTCAGGCATCGAATGAGGACGGTTCACATCACACTTTGCGTCTCATCCAATACCAGGCTCAATACACCAGATATTCCTGCAATCCTAACATGTCTACAAATTGTTCAACCAACGGTATTGTTCACTTCTCCCGACATCCCGATGGTTGCCGACTGCAATCGGAGCTCATTGTCACATTGAAGCGTCTCCCTATCTCGAAATGGTTGTATACTGTTTGTGGACGACCTATCCACAGATTCCAGTTGCAGTCGATCGAATGTGGTGGCATTTCGACTGACCGAGATTACCTGTGTCCCATGTGCATTGTGAATATGCAGTGCACATGGTACTCAGTGTGCATCAGCAACACACGAGTCACCACATTCCTTGAGATTTATTGAACCACTTGACAGAATGGTCGATAGCACAGACATATCAATCAGCTATGCCATACAGTTATTCGTTAAATTGTTGACGGTTCTGATGAAATGAACAACAGTTGTGCAGTACATTCGGCATGTTCAGACGCACACACACTACCATCACTAACAAAATGGCTCTGTGATCGCATTGTCACTCAATCCGAAAACGAACAAACATCTAGCCATTGCAACTGAACGTGTATACTGAAACACAACTTCATACAATCATTCAATTGAAGTGTCAGCAGCTGTAGTACATAAGCACCACATTCTATCAACTCACTTCGAGACAAGAACAACTAGGATTACGTGAGCACTCGCTAAACGGTAAGCTGTTATCACGTAGGTCCATCTGAGGCCATCTCATTGACAAGTGAGCATCACATTCTCAGTATCAACATTCAGTACTCACTACATCACAACTGACGCAGTGCTGAAAAATATGTTCTGTTCGGTTATTCCATAATGAGACAGACACAAAGGGAAATGTTTACTACATGTGCATATTTTCAATTTCCTCTCAATTGTTTCTCTCTCTATTTACAGCAGAAAACGTGGAACAGACCGATTCATCTCAACAACCAACAACTGAACTGCGAGCAGTGAACACAAACGGAAGTTTGTCATCACAAAGTGTACTGCCCGAGAACGGAGGTGAGTCTCATCAATCTGTTCACTAACTCATTCACTACATTCACACTCACTCACATTCCGGTTCAAATGACTTCCGCACACTGACAACCATATTGGATCACATGCATCCGTACCAAATTATCCAACCAGTTACTTCATTCCAAACTTCGCCAATTCACCGTACTACTATATCCATAATTGAGTGTTGAGATCGTGCTGCCGAGGAAGGGTGAGATTAAGAGTGGAATCATAGAGCTAACTTAAACTGTTCGTCGACACAGTATAGTATTTTTGCCACAAAGAAAATTAGTGTACGTTCGACTAGCAAGTAAGACACGAACTAATTACTGTCCCCAGACTAGAACTGTCGTTAAAAAGTCCAAAGACGAATAACATGGACTAAATGTAGTGTGAGGGGAATTGTAACACAGTGAAACAGGTTTGAACGAATACAAGAGAGGTTGAAGTGTGAGGATGGATGTGTGCATTTTACGTTCGTAAAAGTAACAGAGGAACACGTAGAGTTCACACATACAAATAACATCAACACTGAAGCTGATCTTACTCGTTAATCCTTTCTATTATTGATATGGAACGCCAAGTCCTCACTCTTAGCCTAATAGTCGGAACTTGCATGTCGCAAGTCGTCCCAATAGAACGTCGAAACCAACACAAGGTCGGAAACACGAGTCAAAGAAGTAGCGAACATCGGAGGACAACCTCAATACCGTTCGGTGGTTGCCTCATCACTAATCGTTAAGGGTCTGAGACAAACAACAGCTTCTATCCGACTAACATGAGTGGATTGGAATCATCGCCCAAACCATCAATGTTTGCTTGTCAGTAACCACAATCTACTTCCTCTTTTGATGTTAGACTCATTTTGAGTGATGGATAGATTACAAGTATATCACACTCCAAGCCTCACATTGCAGACCCTGTTTGGAAACACCATTACCACAAGCGACATGTACAAGTATATGGTGCAGTTGAATTACATGGATCGTTGACGAAATATAGAAAGAGTATTGCACACTAGCATTGGATAAAGTATGAGATTGCCGACAAGATATAAGTCAATATGAATAAATGCATACTTGTCTGTATACTTTAAAACACGTGTCATGCTTTTCTCTAGTTACCACTGACAATGTGACAGGAGGTGGACAGCAGGACGGAGGAAGCACAACACAGACGGAAACAGAAACAATAAGTCATTCAATGCCTTCGCCAACTGAGCATCCATCAACTGAAGGTTAGTCTCTCTTTGACAGTCACATTGTATGTGCTTCATACTTTTACCGAATGACAACTGTTTCAGGCATCGAATGAGGACGGTTCACATCACACTTTGCGTCTCATCCAATACCAGGCTCAATACACCAGATATTCCTGCAATCCTAACATGTCTACAAATTGTTCAACCAACGGTATTGTTCACTTCTCCCGACATCCCGATGGTTGCCGACTGCAATCGGAGCTCATTGTCACATTGAAGCGTCTCCCTATCTCGAAATGGTTGTATACTGTTTGTGGACGACCTATCCACAGATTCCAGTTGCAGTCGATCGAATGTGGTGGCATTTCGACTGACCGAGATTACCTGTGTCCCATGTGCATTGTGAATATGCAGTGCACATGGTACTCAGTGTGCATCAGCAACACACGAGTCACCACATTCCTTGAGATTTATTGAACCACTTGACAGAATGGTCGATAGCACAGACATATCAATCAGCTATGCCATACAGTTATTCGTTAAATTGTTGACGGTTCTGATGAAATGAACAACAGTTGTGCAGTACATTCGGCATGTTCAGACGCACACACACTACCATCACTAACAAAATGGCTCTGTGATCGCATTGTCACTCAATCCGAAAACGAACAAACATCTAGCCATTGCAACTGAACGTGTATACTGAAACACAACTTCATACAATCATTCAATTGAAGTGTCAGCAGCTGTAGTACATAAGCACCACATTCTATCAACTCACTTCGAGACAAGAACAACTAGGATTACGTGAGCACTCGCTAAACGGTAAGCTGTTATCACGTAGGTCCATCTGAGGCCATCTCATTGACAAGTGAGCATCACATTCTCAGTATCAACATTCAGTACTCACTACATCACAACTGACGCAGTGCTGAAAAATATGTTCTGTTCGGTTATTCCATAATGAGACAGACACAAAGGGAAATGTTTACTACATGTGCATATTTTCAATTTCCTCTCAATTGTTTCTCTCTCTATTTACAGCAGAAAACGTGGAACAGACCGATTCATCTCAACAACCAACAACTGAACTGCGAGCAGTGAACACAAACGGAAGTTTGTCATCACAAAGTGTACTGCCCGAGAACGGAGGTGAGTCTCATCAATCTGTTCACTAACTCATTCACTACATTCACACTCACTCACATTCCGGTTCAAATGACTTCCGCACACTGACAACCATATTGGATCACATGCATCCGTACCAAATTATCCAACCAGTTACTTCATTCCAAACTTCGCCAATTCACCGTACTACTATATCCATAATTGAGTGTTGAGATCGTGCTGCCGAGGAAGGGTGAGATTAAGAGTGGAATCATAGAGCTAACTTAAACTGTTCGTCGACACAGTATAGTATTTTTGCCACAAAGAAAATTAGTGTACGTTCGACTAGCAAGTAAGACACGAACTAATTACTGTCCCCAGACTAGAACTGTCGTTAAAAAGTCCAAAGACGAATAACATGGACTAAATGTAGTGTGAGGGGAATTGTAACACAGTGAAACAGGTTTGAACGAATACAAGAGAGGTTGAAGTGTGAGGATGGATGTGTGCATTTTACGTTCGTAAAAGTAACAGAGGAACACGTAGAGTTCACACATACAAATAACATCAACACTGAAGCTGATCTTACTCGTTAATCCTTTCTATTATTGATATGGAACGCCAAGTCCTCACTCTTAGCCTAATAGTCGGAACTTGCATGTCGCAAGTCGTCCCAATAGAACGTCGAAACCAACACAATGTCGGAAACTCGAGTGTTAATATTAGCGAGCATCTGGCTGTTACCTCAAACTTGTTTCATTTGTTAGTCTCTATTATCTTGTTTTTGTTTTAATCATTCCAATTTCTGAAATTTTTTTCACTTTTGCCACGCAATATTCTTCTCCTTGATATTTTGAATATCTTTCGATCTCATTTGATTTTGTCTTTACTTCGAATATTTTTCGTTTTTTTCCTTTTTTATACTTTTCTTGTATCTTGTTTGCTCTTAATTTTTATGTTTTTATTTAGATTTGTTAAGGCTGGGTTATTTTTATTATTCATATTCTCATTCATCAATCAAGATGTTTTAAATGAACTTTTTTATTCTTCGTTGTTATTTATTTATGCTTTACTTTTCTTTTCGTGTCATTTTAGCTTCCAGTCATCAAAATATTGTTCATTCAAACCATGTTTTAGTTGCTCATTACGAATGTCAAACTTCTCTGAATCAATCTTCTAATTGTGAAAGTTTGTCTGATACAGGTTAGTTTGCTTGTCTCTAACTTTGTACATCATTAATCTGTTTCTTTTTTCATATTCGTTGTTTTAATAGTTCAATCATAGTTATTGCTTGGTATCTCCTTGCATATCATTAAGGCTTTGACGTTTTAATGCATCGACACCTATATATTTTTACAATCATATGTCATTGTCGTTTTGTTTTTATGATATTGAAAATCTCACAAGTTGACATCTTCTACTTTTTTTCCTCATATTTTCTAGACCTTATTCTGTTAACTTTCTTGATTGGCTTCATTCTGTTAGCAGCATTTGGTTTGGTTATTTTCTGGTTATTGTTCCGACGTTCAAACATGTCTCGTTCTACGTCAAAATAACCTTATCTTTGCTTGATAGTTACTTCTGTTGTTTTATTTTTTTTCAATAAAACTTTTCATAATCAAAGTAATATTATGCTTCTATTCCAGCCTCATAATATTTTTGAAAATAGAAATGAAGTTAAGCGGAATCGACGTTATGACCGGTACATTGTGATTGAATAGTTAATGTTATTTTTCTACACTTCAGATTATCATCAAGAAATCACCTAACGGCTAAGTGTTTAAGCTCAAAGCTAAAGATCTTGGATCCGAGTTTCACTTATGAAATTGTAGATGAGCACTGATGAGTAGTCCTGTTCTAGGAAGAAAGCCATCCAGTTCTTTCAGGTTCTTAATGGCGGTCGAACTTATCACGGTTCAAGGTTGTCATGAGATTCGACAACCTCTACAACCACGTACTAAGAAGTCGTACAGATTTATGTGAAAAAACCCTAAAACACCCGAATTATTATATAATTCGTCGATTTTAAAACTTTCCCAAAATGCGAAGATAACCGTATGAAAAGCTAATTTTTGTATGTTTTGGATGCTAGTTGTACCTTACATATGGAAGCATTACCAAACGATTGAGCTATTTAATGAGTAAGAATATCGAAACATTTTATTTAGAACATCACGTGTTCATCATTTGAAATCTGCTACAAAATGTATTTCAGTCATCTTTATTATTGATTTTAAGTGAGCGAATTAGGTAGATCCCGAATAATACTTATCAAATTTTCAGTATTCAGCATTTATATAGCGAGCTTATGCGAACGGTGAATTTAAAGTGATATAAAGAGACAGAAATAGTTCCAATGACTCTAGGACTTCAACAAGACACAATTAAGAACCCGAATTCGAGGTTCGCAGTATGAAATTCTATTGTACTGTTATTACAGGTTTGAATACAACATAAAATATTCAACTTTACGGCAAATGTATTGGTTATTTGCCATACGAACTCATTAATTTCGTTTGTATTTGCATGCTTACAATAGTAAATGGTCCGAGACCATTTTGCTCGCCTATGAGGATCTTTTTAGTTAATGGCCATTGTACTTCTATTGGTTTGTAGTAGGCAGCAAGTCGCGGTTGACTATGATCACCACTGTAAGAAGACTACGTGCCAGCTACCAGGCTAGAAACCTCCGTGGGCCAAATATCAGAAGGCAATCGAAGATTGTAGTAAGCTGTATTTGTTGGCGATCTCGTGGTATCAAACTAATACCGAGATCGTTCCAAAGTTTACAAGTGGGACTACCGGGCGCACGCGAGTTCGTGCAAGGTCACAGACAACGGAAGAATGTGTGTTTTTAGTACACTTAAACAAACAGGTACAGTAAAACAACCTCTGGTACAATTGGTTATAATAATAATTGTGTCGATTATATTAATCGCGTTCTCTTCATAAAAATAGGTCATGACAGGCTTAAAACATAGTTCGTGGTCGATTTATCGTAAAAGTGTCAAACAGTTCTTCCACGCGTTATTAGGGTTTCCCGAACTGAAAGCTATCGTATGAACGGGGATTCGTTTGGTTGTTCGAACTTTGTCAAATTAGCGGAGTTTGAAATGTTAAGAAGTGAAACAGAAAGAGGAGAGAGTTCGTCGCAATGAAAGATATCATTTATAAATAAAATTTGTAGCCAGTTTTTATAGTCATGATTAGAAATTTGTGATAAGGCTCCAGACTACGTTTAGAAGTAATAATTCATGTTTCATTTTCCATTTACTATTCAGTGTAATCTTAGACATTACAGAGAGTGAGCTTAAGTTAAAAGTAGCGAAAAGTACTCCATAAATCGGCATATAGAAGTTCGTAAGTCTCCAAAATAGGAAGCTATCTAAGAGTTTGATATTGATGCTGATCATATAGCACCGCTAGCTAAAGACAGTTGGTAGGACGACCACGTTAGATCATGTTTCAACTCACTTAGAGGGCACACAACACATTAATTTTGCATGCACCAAGATGCAATTTCTCTTCCAGCCATACTTTTTTTCCTGGCTTTGGGATGATTTTATTGAAAGACTCGAACATCAGCGCTGTCAGATGCTCCTGTATGCAAAATTTCTTTTAATAATTAACAACTAAATGGTAAACCCTATAGAATACAATTCCAAAACTTTCCAAGAATGAAATGTGAAACAAGTGAAAAGGGAATGCGTAGAGAGAAGAAAAGGGGCTGATTAAGAGTTAAACACGATCATGTATACTACGAACTACAGGGATCAAGTTACACCAGGTTTATTTTTTCGCTATCCACCCTCACTCTTTAATTGCATAATAAGATCTGCAACGAAATAAATAGAGGCTAGATGTCACTCACGTGGTTCTCCCAACGAGAGACGTTCTAATGAGATATAGGATCAAATCCAGAACGTTTCTTGCCCTCATTTTACGGTTAATTGTGGAGATAATATAGGACAATTAATAGCACGAGATATCTCAATATCAAACTATTTTTGTACCTCATACTGCGTGAGAATCGATTTAGAGCTGTGATGATTTTGATCATGCTAATTACTTATTATATTCCATGTTTAACTTTCTCATAAACACTATTGGATACCCCCACCAACCGGTCCTTGTGTACAGGACTTTATTGACTAATAGTGTGTGGCGTTGGTACGAATTGATAACGCGTTTGTAAGGTACTCCTCACCTGACTGTAATGTCAAATATAATATTTCCGACCGTACTCACGTAGTTCTTCCAGACTCGAATATTTATCTACATGTGGCCAGTATAGCATGACATGAATAGTTCTTGTAAGCATACTGATCTCGACTACTTCCGATTGTCAAGTAAACACCGGCAGTTGACAAATTGATCACTAAGAAAGCGAGAGTAACCAAACTTTCTTTGAATAACAGAGTAGCTTTTTGCTATTACAAAGTATTCAGTCTTTTATGCTTTGAAATCAATGAATATCACAAATGATATGTAAGGCCAGTGAAGTATCACCCGGATGGCAGGTCGCTGAGTACTAAACAGTGAAGGATGACACAGGTATTCAGTGTTTGACAACGCTTCTACCAGCAACACCTTCTAATATATTTCGTTACCACCCAGAGAAATCAAAAGACAGAGTCGAGGAGATCGGAAGAGTGTATGTTGCGATTACCAATATATCGGAATTCTCTGATCTAATCTGGCTAGCGATTGCAGTAGCAGTTGAGCACGGCGTTACCACACGTGATCTGGTGCTTGACCGAGCGCCTTCAGCTAGATGAGTCCACTAAAACATATGGTCAGCATCCAATGTCGAAAACTTACAGAGCTATTTATTTTGGGGATTTATTTACAGCTACAATAGTTTACCTATCCTCTTCAGAGTCAGGAACAATCAGTGCTATCTGGCAATTAGTCTATGAATTTACCCATTTCCTTTATTTGGAAAAACTACCAAAGGCATTGTGAACTATCATCTACGAAATAACTGAAACGTTCAACTCAATGAGAATTGAATCCTGAAGATACTATTTAGAAAGAAAGTGAATGCTTCATAGTCAAACCATTTGATGCAGAGAACATAATACTACCGAAGTACTGAATTTCGTTTAGGTACACGGTACCTAACTGAAATAATGTACTAATGAAATAACAGGTCTCTCTAAAAAGCTATTTCAGATAAGACAAAGAAATATAGACATCCGGAAAATCCACTATATTTTACTTGATCTTTTTTGAAATGGTAAGCAATGAAAACATTACTTTTACGTCAACCGCACTACATAAACATTCATTCTCTTAAAAACATAGGACTTATGTAAAATCCTCTTGAAGTTGCTCAGTAGGATGGACAAGAGTAATCTTGTGATTTTAAGCGTCCTTAAGGCCTTATTCTTCTGTGGCATACGTTTAATTGTCTCTATTAACTTCATACACCTAAACTTATATCATGTGTGTTTTCCCCTCAAATTATCCAACATTATGCACTTTCTCCACCGAGTAACATGCTTAGTAATAACTTTGGCACGATTGCTTACGTTGAAGTTTTGAGAAATATTATTGAAGATCATTATTCAAGGGTTTATAGTAGGTTGAAAATTCCGGTATCTGTAGAGACGATATCAGTCAATGAACCCTGAATAATGTGTACAAAATGGATCACTCAACTCAAACACCGAGGTTATATCTTCAACTAGGCAATCAACATCAAACCTTGCTAAAGCTTATTTTTTTTAACCTATTAAAATGCTCTTTCTTAACAAATACCTTAATAAAAGAAAATTAGACTGAGTAATCATACCTTAAACATTCCTACATAAATATTGGCTACTCTGCCTCTCGTGTTTTCTTTTACTTGCTCCCCCTTTCAGCCCCCTTGAGATATGGAACAGGTTACTTCATCCTGCACCATCCTTAAAGCCTTGGATATCCCAAAGGGACATAAGGTTGCGATTTCTAGAAGCTCATACCTTCAATGGATCTATTCTTGACCATCAGTCGCACATTCGCAACGCAACCCTCGTGGTGCGCGCCAACTGTTGTACTGATTAAAACAATCTACATTCATGTCTTATAAATTTTCAACCCAGCTATGTAATTTAATACAGTGTATATTGTATCATTTGTATCAATTTGATCTTGCCTGTAAACTGGCATGCCTCATGTAACAAACTGTTATTTGAGAATAAATTATTATCATTATCATTATCATTATCTACGTTGGTGATCTACAGGGCAGTCTTCAGTAAAGAAGGGTGAGATAAATACTGTACAATGTTGGGAGAGAGTATCACATCAACCTAGCTGTGTCCCCTGCATATGAAACAAAATATCGCGAAAACGAAATCGTACCCATTAACAGTAACGTTGGACTCAGCACATGTGACAGAAGAAATTTCACTGACATCTCAGTGACCATCAATTAAACGATCCTCTCAAATTCGAGTTATGCACGACAAACCCTGAGCTGTTAGAGATACGACCAGAAGATTGACAAACACTCAATAACCAACCAGAATGGTGGTTCAAGCAATTCCTGAGCTGGTCAGTGGTAGTCAAGATGAAGCTCACAAACACGATATGCAACAGTGTTGTTGGCCATTATGCAGCATTGATCTTAACAACAATATGGTAATTAGCGCGTTCAGGATACTTTATCCGTCCTGCATCACGACAGCTGTGCATTCGCGTCTGATGTCTGTGAATTTCAGAAACCGAGAGAAGCTCACTGAGGCAATCCAGGTCTGGTACGACTCGAAAAACAACCTGTCCAGTAACATCGGTTGTTGCTAGAACATATCACGTTAGGTAAGACAACTGCAGAAAACACGCAGGGACAACGGCCCCACTAATGATACATCCTAAATAGTCCCAATTATACAACGGTTAGTTCGCACTCAACTGACCAATACACTTTAAACAACAGTCTGCTTAAAATGCGGAAGACCTATACTGATGATGAGGAGCAGCAGGCGATGAAACAGACCAGGAGAATAAGAGGAAAACGCAATACTTCACTTTATGCAAAGAGACTTTTGGAACTATCCGAACATGTGGGTGACAACACGAGATAAGGTAAGGTCGGAAAACCCTCGAACTGAAATGGTTTACTTATCCGAGAGTTTCCATATCCACCCGCCGATAGGAAGAAGTGATTATGGTGCAAACGTGTTTATCACGGTCACAAATAAAATAGTTTGGTGGGACGAGAATATTTCTTATCTAAGTTGCATTAGTAGAGCCTACATGACGACCGTCTCCCGACTGTCACGCTAAAGCATGAAATCAGGCTTACAACCTCGGAAAGCCTAGATAACAACCCCAACTAAATACGGTATGAACCCAAGCTAAACTCAATTCTTCACCTTATGTGATGAGAACTTTACTCGATCACCAAGTGATTGTTCTTGAATCTTTTGAAAACGCACACGCGGTCCTTCATTCGAGTTCACTGTGGCGTCGCTCCCACCTGCTCCCCAAGAAGGACATAAACCCCTTAGAACAAGTACGAACACAAACTCCAACACTTGTGATGATTCCCGCTGATCAATGAGAGAATAAGAGGTGATACAACAGTGTCATAAAACATTTTCAGTACGCCAAACCACCTCAATACAAACATACTACCGGAATATCAACATCACACTCGAGGCAATCCTAAAACTATTACACATCAAACAGCGAACACATTGGTACGTTCTCACTTTTTCTCATTAAGAGTTGTCCCAACCCGCAATGCTCCCCAAGCCGAAGTGACCACAGCCTCATCAGTAGGTAGCTTTAAGTGGAAACTTAATAAACACATACTCATCCACAGATTATCACCCCCTTGTATCAGCTGTACCTGATCCATTTTTCGCAGCCCTACTACTTTTTCATCATCACAAATCAGTAACTAATTCCCATCTCACTAATTATCATCTATATTTCCATTTCTCCCTCACATATAGGTCTCCTCACATTGTGCATCACCAACTGATTAGCTTGATTATTAAGTTATTTATCTATCTACCTCTTAAAACAATCGTCTCCTCATGGCACTCAAGTTTTCACTCCATTGCTTTTCATGTTGCAGCCAACCTACCTCGGATCTGGCAATGTGATAGTCGCAATTATCCAGAGACCCTTCTGCTCTCATACAAACGCACTCACTCAAATTTAAAGACTCACAAATGAACACCAAGCTGATTAAAGTTGGTGGAGTCGAGTGACTGAGCTAAAGCCAACTGGACATTACCAGAGAGCTGGAAGTGTATTGAAATGACAAGAAGTAAGAACAAAGGAACTGATCGTTTTGTGTAAGATTGTCAAGAAGAAATTGGATATTGGATATCGAACTTATCAACCGGCTGCATCGTCACCGCGGCAACCTATTTGTTGCGCCATAGATAATGGTAAGCGGGTTGTTAATTACAATTTGTTTATTTTATTAACTTGTTTCATCTTATCATCACCTTATGAGGTATTTGCAACTGACATTAAGCATAAATATGTGAATGTGGATTAGGAATTACCAAATATTTAATCTATCTGTTCAGCATACATTATATCTCACACGATTTATATGTGTTGTACCTTCGAAGTATATCGTTATTTAAAAGTGAGATTTATCACATAGTCTTGAACTTATTGTGGGCCAACTCTCCAATGCTCTAGATATATGTGGTTTGTGTTACGATGACGTCATCACCTAGTTCTGTCTTTCTCAAAGAAAGAAACAATAAATTTACTGAATCTTCTGATGGAGGTTAAGCATCTTATGAGTTGTCGTAATCCACTTGATTCCTTCGCTCCATGTTCTGTCAAAAATGACATAAGGACTTTGACATCAACCATTTTAATATGTCTGGTAGAGCAATTAAAGTAGTGGGTTCCACAAAAAGTTCGTTCTTGATCGATTTTGACTTCGAGTAAGTGAATTCGTCTAAAGGTAATCAGGCTTTTTGAAACCAGATGTCACTAAAAAAACCGTTGATTTGATGGTGTATAGTTAATTGGTTGGATGCAGACTGAGTGTATTTTCTAGATGTTCGCCAAAAAATCAGCTTCGGGAGGAGACTTAATTAGGACCGCTACAAAAGCAAGTCGTCTGGCAAATTTCCACGTTAAATAATGAACCGCTTCACTTTCTCATGGCCCTAGTACCATCAGGTCTTTTAACCTACAAAAATATATATGTATACCTGTCCACTATAATGTTTTCCTCACCACAGTGAATTAATTAGCATTGACAGTCAGTACTTCGTACATTTGAGGGATCCTGAATCATGTAGGTTCAGTCTTCGACGAATTTATTCTTTATTTCTAAGTTTTGCTTAGTGTATCATTTTTTTCTTCATCTAATTCACCTTGACTGACGTCTCAAACATATTAATGGTTGGAACTTGACACCCCTCTAAGTATTTCCACTGACCATAACTGGGTATGTACTCCATGCTGCAGTGGCTCAGTAGTTAGAGCGTTCTGTTTTCAGCTACTAAGTCACATGTTCGGACCTCGCGCCACTGCTATAGGAATATTAACTAAGCTTGTGATATACTTTCCTTAATAAGTGCTACATTAAGTCACTTGTAATTTGAAAAAGATTAGAACTGTGATCTACCTATCCACCAATTTACATAAGAACTTGAAGAAACCTACCAAGTTTGAACAAAAACCAGTGTTTATATGTACTTTCTCATTTCACCTAACTTTTCCACTAACGTAGTGGTAGATGACTTCTCACAATAACCATGGAGTCTATGATCGACGTAGTTTACATGCGGTAAAGTTTTGTCTAGTGAGTATTTCAAATGAATCTAAAAACTTTGCACACACTAAGTGTATCTAAGTCTGCTGTGTTTTACGTGCAGGAAGCAATACCTTAAGACTAGCTGCGCTGAAACTCATCGCTTCATGTTTCTCAAAGCCGAGTACGTAAACTTGTACTAGCTGAATGGGTTGGTCTAGATAAACAAAACCGATTTCACTCTCGAGTCTTCAATATATATTAAAGTTTTGATTGGTATTTGGCAAATGAATTATTTTTAGCTATAGATACATATTCTGTTCCTGAGCTACGATTAAAAGACCTGATTGTGATTGCTTACCCGGCATTATTTGTGTGTTTTCGAACTGTTGTGGTCCACATATATGTATTCACTTTTCAGTGTTAGAACCCAAAATTGAATTTTGTAATTTCAGTCATTAACAACATACAGCCTAATACTCATGTACATCGGTTCGAATTGGTATACCCCATTAGCACAGATGGATGAAACTGCCAAGCCAAATCTCAGAATAGTAGACGTAGTGACAACATGCGTGGTGATTGAAAATATTAGGTATCGAAGATATGATCCAAGAAAATGTAAATTAGTGAGATGAAAAGATAAGAAAGTTATGAAGAATCCAGAAGCTCAGAATTTGGAAGAAGACAAAAATCGGATGTACCTGCACCATTGCAATGGATTTTGAGCTATATCATACAATATCCTTAACTATTAGTTACAGGAATCACGCAAACCCTAACCAGATAGTCTATACTCACAAACATGACTCAGTCCATTTGTCGATAACCCCCTAGACTGGTGTCACGTCTGTCTGACAGCTCCTACTTTTTTATCAACCTACTCCTACACCAAACAACATTGACTGCCGAGACAGAGAGTGGTTGGCTATACGAAATACGTGTCCCAACTATTTCAATAGATAAAGATTCATTACCTCATCAGCCTATTTGTAATGTTTACCTGGTACCCTGTGTTTAACCTCCAGCCTCATCTTTTCATTACACTTATGTCCTATGCTTTCTCTCCTGTATTTCTTTTCTTGTACAATCCCTCTATAGTAAATAGGTACTTTTCACCTTCCGTTCATTCGACTGGAAAAATTAATTTGTTTTTATTATATCCGGACGAAGAATGAGTGAATGGTAACTGCTAAGATCTATTTGTGAACTGCTACTATATATATATATATATATATATATATATATATATATATATATATATATTCCTTTTATTATAAGCTTCCGTAACTTAGGTTATTCTCAGTTTCTTAGTTACAGTATTCCACATTCACAGCCACTTTTGACCTGATCCTGCATAATTGTTATTTTCTATTTTATGGTATAATGCGATCTGATTTGCTTGTATATAAATTGTATATGTTTGAAATACGTGATTTATATAGCGGAGGCTGAGATTGGTGTTCTGGACTGATTAGGTGAGTACCTTCTATCTCAGAGGACCACTAAGAACTCGGAGTTGACTCTAGACTCCTCGTAATTGTTTATGTGTCATTGGTCTGGTCAATAAGTTGGGGTTCTAATTGGCGATTTAGTCACGTGATAATTAACAGGGAATAAAAGACATAACAGTTTTACTTGCTTTAAACTAACTAATGGACTGAGCGGAAAAAACAATATAACAGTCTTCTAACTAATCAACTAATTAGAACTTACGTTAACTTCCAAGATAATTGTATATTACAAATCTAAAGTCACTTAGTAAATCTTAATTTCCAGTGTTTGTTTAATTAGCTAAGCGACTTAAAATATCTATTTTTTTGTAAATGTTGGTATTGTTATGCTGTAATTGGTCTGTTAATCACTAGTAGATAGAATTGTAGATGGATGAATTTTTGTCCCATATTCTTAACAAGATTTCTAAGTTTAACAAGTTACTTCACACTTTTGTAATTATGATCAATGCTAATACATACTAAATCACTTGTTTATATTTTTAAGTCAGAAGTAGAAGAAACATTTAAAAGATTATTGGCACACAAAGGAGTTATTGGTGCAATTATTGTAAGCTCAGATGGTAAGCATTATAACTGATATTTAGTAGCTTTACCAATCATTGATCTATTCGTTTTTATTGTAATTTATTTATTTCAACACATAAATATTGATACAAGAGGGCACCAAATATATATGTGCCACACCATACTTGTGTGTGGGGGCTGTGATACTGACCGGGTGCCCGGACCGAAGCAGGTGGTTTTCTTAGGGGGCTACACCCGGAGCCTTCGACCTGAAGGTCTGATCAACAAGGCAGTGGAGCATCGTGAGGAGATACATTCCCATGGTAGCCGGTGACCAACGATTGATTCGTACGCCATTTGTTCCCTCAGGATACTGGAGCCCATGTGCACCATCAGTTTGGAATCCGGTTAAAGCGCCGGACATCCGCTTTTCGTCCTCTCATTTTCGTAAACAACAGTAACGCCACGAGAATGCAGTGAGTAGGACTTCCCTGGCAGAGGCTGCATACGCGTGGCCGTGTGAAAGCATTTCAAGAGGGAGGGCGAACCCACCGCACTCTCGGCCATACCAGGGCATTTGGGGGTGTCTCATTTGCGGATAAATCTTTCGCCTTTTTTATTGTAAACAACTTCAGATATATGTGTAAATGTACGCCCCAGTCTGAAAGTAGGCTATTTTTATAGATTCTTTTTTGTCTGTTGGGAACTTTTCATTTAATTAGCGAGGCGTCATAAATCAAAGCCTGTTTCCCAAAGTTATCGATAGTGATGTTTTATTATTTGTTTATTTAAACACGAATTGGCACAAAATGGCACTAAAATATATAAGCGCTACACAGAGTAGTTATTATTTTGTTTGTGTGTGGATTGAATTATTGTCTAAGTGCCCAAACCCAAGTAGATGGTCTTCTTAAGGACATACTCCCCGAGCTCTTGATTTTGGGATCTAATCCAGTAGGCAGTGAAATAACGTCAGATGCAGTCCCATGGAAACCCGTGACCGAGAATAGATTCGTACACCAATTGTTCCCTTAGGATCCTGAAACCCATGTCCATTTGAACATATAAATATTGGTACAAGAGGGCACCAAATATATATGCGCCACACTTTGGAGTCAGAGTTTTATATCTCCTCTAGGTGGATCATTCTTACTCGGTTTGAGCGCCGAAGATTCTTTTCCCGTCCTTAATTTTGTAAACAATACCCCCGTCGCAAGAAGTTAGTGAGTATATATACGTGACCATATGGAAGCATTTGGAGGCAGTCTTTCAAAATAAAAGCGTTTCGATAATTTCTCACTCCTCCAAATGTTACGTCTCATCGTGTTGCCGTCCACCCAGCTGAAATCGCTTAGATTTTAACTACATATAATAAATTTGAATAAACCGAAGACACTGATTACAGAATACAATAAATTCATATTTCACTTCAGCTACATGCATAATCTGGAATTTTTTAAAGATGGATTGCTCAACAATAACCAGTAGGTCCTGGGTTCGAATCCCGTGGGGTGCGGGATCGTGGATGCGCACTGCTGAGGAGTCCCACACTAGGACGAAACGGCCGTCCAGTGCTTCCAGGTTTCCAACGGTGGTCTAACATCAATTAATTCGTGATCTCAACCAAAAACGTAACAATCTCCACAACCCCCATACTGATAATAACAAAAAAGTCCTAGTCACTGCCTTCTCGCGGTGGGAGTGTTGTCTACGAAATCGATAGATAAAAAGCGAATATCGGCGCTTTAACCGGGCTGATGGACACGGAGAGTCCACTAAGGGGAGTTGGTAAACCCTGATTCCAAACCAATGGTACACATGAGCTCCATTATCCTAAAGGGGCAAATGGTGTATGAACCTATTGTTGGTCACCGGCTACCATGGGATTGAATCTCCTTACGTTGCTCTACTGCCTTGTGGATCAGGCCATTAGGCTGAAGGCTCCAGGTGTGGCCCCCTAAGAAAATCATCTGCTTCCGTCTGGGCACCCGGACAGTATCATAACCCTCACACAAATCGAATGATTTATGTGGCGCATATCTGTTCGGTGCCTCCGTATACCAATGTTTATGTGTTTAAATAGATAAACATATATAAGTATAGAATGTAAACGTAAATATCGTTAAGAATTAAATGTTAACAGGCTTCTATAAATGCTGGGAGTGACAGTTGTAGGATATTTTTTAAGATAGTTGTCACTACGTAATATTAACAAAAATCCAAGTTTATAAAGAAGAAACAAATGAGTCGAACTCACTAAATTGTAATTATCCTTAATTGAATAGGAGAATTAGTAAAATAAGTTAATATTGTTTTCTTTTCCCGGCTTATTATCACGTGACTTATTCGCCAATCGGAATACGACTTATACTATCTTAGCACCGCACCACACCAATGACGTATCAATCATTATGAACAGCATAGCGTTCTTTTGGTCCTTTTCCTCCTGGCCCGTCCAGTTGAGTCCACAAAGCCAATAACAGCTTCCACTATGCAAATTCTTTACTCCAAATATACTTGGCTTATATACCAGTCAAACAGGCGACATCACACCATAAAATAGGAAATAATATTTATACAAGATCAAGCCAAAAAGTGGTTGTGAACGTGGTAGACTGGAATCAATAAACTGAACATAAATTAAGGACAGTAAATCGTATAATAATAATAATAATCTATAGGTCAAAATGAATCTTATAATAGGAGAAATATAGATATGCACAATCTAGTTACTGAACAGTTATACAATAGGAATATATATATAATACTGGTCCATTAATAGTTCTCAGAAGTTACTCGTAATTTAATCTTCACTAGGATATAACAAACATCTTGGTTACCAAAACAGATGGTCAGGTTCAAGCCTAACTACTTATGGCTTCCACGACTTTTACTAATATAGTTAGATTATTTATTGATTACTTTGAATGCTTCTATTATATCCACTTCTTGTCCCATCTCAAGTAAGTGTGATAAACCTTACTTAATCAGAAAAGCATCTCACTAAACTATATTTACAATTGACTGATCATTGAGTAAGTAGTGGCCAACTTCACATATCTCAAGTCTTTCTTAACACTGATCAAGTTGTAATTTGACCATTACTCTAAGTGGTAATGTATCTGACTGTGAAATTAAGTGACACGGGATCGAATCTCCCAAGGAGTATTAGTTTCTCCAAGATTACAGGTATACCTTGTTGACGAGCACAAAACCTAGGTCAAGCAAAGCTTTTTGTAGACCAACACCTTACAGTTGAAGTTCATATTGATTTAGATATTTTCCATCTCCTAAGTTGTTATTATCTCGACGAGAATAATGAATGGTAACTGTTGGAATCTATTTATGGACTAATATATATATTTTCATTGTATAATTGTTAAGTAACTAAACTATCCATATTCATATTTTACTTATTATAAACTTTATTTTAACCCATTGACTATTATTATACGATTTACCATTCTTAATTTATGCCCAATCTATCAATTACAGTCTCCCATGAATACAACAACTTTTGGCTAAATCTTGTACAAATGTTATCTTCTTTTTCATGGTACGATTTAGTCTGTTTGGTTTGTATATAAGCCCAGTATGTTTGAAATGCCTGATTCACATCTCACAGGCTGAGATTGGTGTTCTGGACTAGGCGGGAAGTAAAACCTATAAGAACTCTAGACTGCTCGTACGGGTTTATGCGTTATTAGTTCGGTCGATAAATCACTGTTCTCTTATTGATGGTATCATTATGTTAAATATTATTAGGGCAAAAGTTATAACATAAATATTGCTCATTTCTGAACTAAAACTCATGGCCAGATACTTCTATTATGAAATTACACTGTTCTTACATACTAATATCATTATTATTCATCAGACTATTTATCTTAATAATTTTCTATAAACTAGTGTCGAAAAGAAAAGTTTCTTCGTTAAATTGTCTTTATTCTTCTTCTTCAGTGATACAATTGATCTCATTCATTATTGAGATTAATGTTTATGGTTCTTCTTATATAGAAATATCTTATTTACTTTTCTAAGGGATCGCAGTAAGAACTTCCATGGATAACAGTACCACAAATCATTACTGTGGTCTTATTCAACAATTGGTAGCAAAATCTCGTTCTGCTGTTCGTGATTTAGATCCATCTAATGATTTAACATTTTTGCGTATACGAAGTACTCGAAATGAAATTATGGTAGCACCAGGTAGTATTTTTTTTCTTTATAATTAATTTTCCTCGTTTCATTTCTATTTATCCTAATCAAATGGCTTTGGTAGATATGAACAAACAAAGTTTGTCTATCTATGAATCTTTTTTTCGCTACCTATGTTCATATTTTTAATGCTATCTAATGTTATTTATTTATTTGTTTGAACACATAAACGTTACACAGGTTGAAATCATGAGTCAACTGAAGCTAAACCACCATGGAAAACCTAGAAGCACTGGAATGCCGTTTCGTCCTACTGTGAGACTTCTCAGCAGTGCGCATCCATGACCTCGCCCCCTGCGAGATTCGAACCCAGGACCTACTGGTCTCGCGCGCGAGCACTTAACCACTAGACCACTGAGCCGGCATCTAACGGTGTTAATGTTTAACTTCAGTTAAGTGCTCGCGCGCGAAACCAGTAGGTCCTGGGTTTGAATCTCGCAGGGGGCGAGGTCGTGGATGTGCACTGCTGAGAAGTCTCGCAGTAGGACGAAACGGTCGTCCAGTGCTTCCAGGTTTTCCATGGTGGTCTGGCTTCAATTGACTCATGATTTCAACCTGTGAAATTTCTAAAAATCTTCACAAAACCCATTCACATAAACATTAGTGAAATAGGGCATCAAATACATATGCGCCACACAATAACAATGAGGCCGTTAGCAATTATCATTGATTTGTATGAGGGCTGTAATAATGCTCGGGTGCCCAAACCGAAGCAGGTGGTTTTTTTAGGAGGCCACACCCTAAACCTTTGACCTGAAAGTCTAATCCACAAGGCAGTGGAGCAAGTTTAGGAGATGCAGTCCCATGGTAGCCGGTGACCAACAATATAAGTTGATACGCCTTTTGTTCCTTCAGGATCTTGGAGTCCATGTAAACCATTGGTTTGGAATCAGAGATTTCCAACTGCCATAGATGTATCCATCATATCTAATTAAGATATTGCAATCATGTTTTCCTGGCGTTTTCTGCTGTATTGTTTCTGGTAATATATTTCATTTATAGATTGCTTTATTTAATGACAAATTATCTATTTGATAAATAAGACAATTAATAAGTTATCAGTAAACATGAAACCATTCTCTTTCTAAATACTGACAATCGACTGAAACTAAGTTATTGAAAATACTATCACTTTATAAAAGTTGCTTAGAATTTTAACATTCATGTTATAAAAATTAATCGTTAGTTAGCTAGTTTCATTTGATAACTCCCCTACCGATAGTGACATTCAGTTTATGTTTGTTGATGTCCCGAATTATTGACATTAATTTTAGTCCATATCACAGATTGATCTTAGTTAGATAAGTATTGAAAAACAGTAAGCATTTGACAACTATTTATAATTGCAGAATGAAATCCCTTAATTTGGGTTTAAATCCACTACCCCACCGGAGATCAAACCCCGAAATCTTCAAGTCGCGATAGTCGATCAGGTTGTATTTCATGTAGTTACTTTTAGAAAAATATGTTATTTAATTTCCTTCCATTCGCTTACTGAAGAACGTTTTTTCTATTTTCTCTTATTTTGTCGACTTAGATCGTGATTACAGTCTCATCGTTATACAAGAAACAAGCATAGAATAAAACGTTTTATTGTTTATATGGTTTTAGATCCTTGAAGAAAATAACAATATTTATGCCTAATAACTAACGGTAACTTAACTTCATGGTTTTTGGTGCTATGGTTCGTTTTTTTCAACGGCTGTTATTGTCATTCTATATAACTAATAAATTGATCGGCTAATAACGTCACAACTAAATTTTCTTGTTTTGGGTTCTCATCTTTTGTAGTCCTACCGATCAATATGCAATTCCATTTACTCTTACTGTCCTGATCTACTTACAAATCTTTCCAGAACGAACTTGATGAAACATTTACATTGTTGTGACTTGAACGTGGATCAATTTTTACCCCCGTGCCAATTGTTGTGTCCTTGATTGAAAGATTAGAGAGCAGTGTATTATCGATCGGACCAAAGACGCGTAAAACACTTAAGAACGACCTAGAGTTCTGATTGGCCTTGCTTCCCTGTCTAGCCCAGCCAGTTGAGTCCATAACTCAAGTCTCAGCCTCTGAGATATGAATCATTGTATTTCAAGCATACTATGTTTATATACCAATCAACCCGACCACAACGTACCAATAAAATAGAAAATAACATTTGTACAATAATTAGCCAGAAGTGGCTGTGAATGAGGGAGGTAGCGATTAACAAATAGGGTGGTCTAGCTTCAACTGACTCATGATTTCAACCTGTGAAATAGGAAATAATTCATGAATGGTAAGTCGTACAATAGCAGTTCATAGGTCAACATAAAGCTCATAATAAGAGGGGTATGAATATGAACAGTTTAGTTGCATAACAATTATACGATAAAAATATACTCATAATATTGGTCCATAAGTGGATCCCAAAAATTGCCATTCATTATTCTTATCGGGACAACATACATGTAGGTAGGCAGCGATGAGTGAGTAATCAAAGCGTTCTACTTGTAAGCACTAAGCCGTCTCAGGTTAAATATCCTGTCCTATTTACTCCAATTCTGGCAACTAGATAGTTCTACTATCCCTCATGTTTAGAGTGCAACTCAAAGTCAAGTACACGAATATGTATCGGATAAATCAGTTAAAAAATATCCATACTCAGATTCATATTCTTTTTGTACACTTTTGTTGCTACTCAGTTCATGTTCTTAAGTACCACTAGATTTCAAAAATGGTTCGTAAGTTAGAAACCACTTGTTATTCATCAATAGTATGTAATATTCATACTTTGTTTCTTCATTGCCAGATAGTCATCAATATCAGAAGTGAGTACTGTAAAGAAACAGGTGTTCATCAAAGTAGAACATTGCACTAACCATTATGATGCTTCCGATAAGGTTACATTACAAACGAATTTGAACCATTTCACTCAAGGTTTCTAACTAGTGATTACAATGATCACGCGGACCCTGACCACGTATTTTGCACCTACTTACATGGCCCAAGCTAACGACTAGCATCTTCATGGGTTGATGTCATGTATATACGCTTCACCACAAACAAAGAAACCCTAGAGATGGGAACAGTAAGAAGCCCAATAAAGTGGATTAGTGTATCTACATCACAGTGAGGTCATATTCAAATTATATAACTCAATATCTTCAATCATCAATATGGTTCTTTCACAAATTCCAACAAAGGAGATGGCCTCTGAATATATAATTCATAGGTGGCTTATTGACCAATAATTGGAAGCGCAACTTCTAAGAAATTTTCTCCATTTTACCATCGGATATTGAATTATAGATGCGATGGCCAGATTTAAAAACAATGAATTAATTATAGATGAAGCGTAAGGTCTACTGTTAGCGAAAGTGTACAGCTTATAATACTTACAGAATGACCGGTTAAACTCGACAAGTCCATATCTGCCTGAAGTACTCTGTTATTCTAATAGATTTGGTTAAGTAATAGCATATAGTCAGTCTGTCGTCAATCACAACGTATAACCTAGCGCATAGGTAGATCGATTCAATTTGCTACAGCTTAACAAGGTATAATATTAGTTACATTATTAGTGGTAGTAGAAAAAAATTGAGTATAGAAAATATAATACCTAAAAATGATACAGATTTGTGGATTCGAGACAGATTTCTAAAGATAACTAAACAATCCTAAGGTTAACTCACTAATGCTTGCCGCTTTCAGCTATAGTTTTTTTAAAGCTTCATTGAGAGTAGGGAGGTGGTTATATTAACATCCCATCCCAGTGGTTTAGTAATTGAGGAACACTTAAATTGTTCTCCAATGTATTTAAACCGTCTTTCCAATCACCTGTAACTAATCTTTCTTTGAGAACACTTTTGTGTTTTAAATAACCAGCAAATAGATAAATATATGACAACCGGTATTCACCAGAAGCTGTTTGACTATTGAATTCTTTGTAATCAAAGGAGCGGATATCAGCTAGGGTGTTTCCAGTAAAACTAACAAGTTCAACATCATTATTGAAGACACGGAACTATTTATTTTGAGGACTTATTCACTGCTACAGCTATATCCATCATAATCGTTAACGTGTTTTAATCTATTAAAATTTGATAATTGTGCCTATTTTACGGATATGAACTTTAACCGTTAAATTATCCTCAAGAAATTCTTGGTGTTTTCCAGGAACTCAAATAAGTGTATAAGAATGGGTAATTTATACTTGAGACCGAACAAAACTAGGATTTTATGATAATTAGAAGTATTAGAATTTCTGTGCTGCTTATGAATTCCCGGAACAGTTCAATTTAAACCAGACAGAACTAGATGAGTACAAACGAATGTATTGTATTTAGGATTCGAAATCAGCGGGCAACCAAGTATAACGGAATCATTAGTTCGTACAATTATCACAGAATTATTTATATTTCATGTACTGAATTTCTCCAAGATTAGTTGCCTGTTGTCTTAAAATGGAAGAGAATTCGCTTTAGAAACATGCTCATGCTTCAATTCATTTCATATGTATTTAGCTATTTGTAAATACATGCTGTTGCTGTAAGTCCCTGTTATAGAGCCTATGAATCGAAGTCTTTGACAAACTAATTCGGCATAATATCTAGATCTGTCTAGACAACGGTAACCTTTCTTATCACCCGTAAACATTTTTTTCCTGACTGAGGATAGATCTTGACAATATTTGTTGTGAAAAGCGTCTTTGAAAACCTCCACTCCATATAATAAAATCATACTGAATTTAAACAGATGAACTACTTTCATATTCTTTCCCGTTTATCTTTACGCTCGTTAGCAAATATTTTGTTCCTACAATTTATGTACCTAATTTTGATGCCATTACTGAAGTTAACAACGGTTAACATATCTTTCACTTACTCATCGTGTAATACCTTTTCCGAGAATGTATATGGACGCACAATGCTTAATTAAAGACTTTTCAACCACAAAGTTAGACTTAATTCTGGGGTTGTTTTAGTGAGACTATAATCTATGGATGACCTTTTAAGTGACGCTTGACTGACCTTGAGTGTCTACCTAATAACAAGGACCGAATGAGGGTTATAAACTAGTGTGTAAGGAATTATAATTATAGTTTGCAGTTGATGATTTAGGGTAGGAATTAAATTTCGGGGGTTTTTTTATCACGAATTGACATCAGCTAAAATATCAAGACGCTATTTATCCAAATGAATGAGTAAATTTCGTTCCGAAATCCCTTGCCTGTTATCTTATACGTGATTAGTTCGTTCATAAATTACAGTCTCGCCGACAGGTAGTATAAATCGAATCTCTTTTGGTCAGCAAATTATTTACTTTAACAAACCCAGTAGTCTGGCTAAACAACATCGTTGTTCTGTACACTTACTAATCCTGAAGTAGAGGGTCCTATTCTCAAATAGTACCGTTTCTATCGCATTCAAGTTGCCGTGTATGTATGTGCTGTGCTTATTAGAAGCATCGAGGAAAACAGAACGGGATTTCATTTGGCGAGAATTATTACTGTTGAGTTTTCATACAGAATAATGTGTAGAAACCTAATTAAGTTAAGTTTTATATATTCAATAGAATTCAGATAGATATTGCCATTTGAATATAATTGCTTTTGTCATTCTTTGTGATGATTCTTATATAAAATATCGTCTTACGACGAAACGGTTACGAAATATCTTCATATGTACTGAAAGTAAGGGAGTTTTCATATTCTAAAAGATTTTGAACTCAGTCTGCGCTAAGAGTAATTTCATGTTAGTCTTCTGATTAGAATAGTAATATGATAATATTATCACTTCATTACACTTGGAACACAAGACAATTTTAGTTACTGCGATGAAATGTATCAAGTGTTATTACTTATTTTGTGTTCTGAGTATCTGGAAGACATTTGTCAGCTACAACATCAAGGGATAAAACAAGTATGGATCGCCTAAAAATATCTCCCTAACACGCCATAAAAGGGAGATCGTAAAAAACCCTTTCCATCATGATCATAAACTCAACACAAAGGAGAAACTAGAAGAACTTTCGGTCATCAAAATGTATCAGCAATAAAATGTACCAGTATAGGGTTGTGGAGATTGTTGAGTTTTGATTGATATGAGGAATGGCTCAATGTTAGACCACCGTTGAAAGTCTGGAAATGCTGGGCGGCCGCTTTGCACTAGTATGGGATCCCTTAACAGTGCCCATTCACAAACCCGCGCTTGGCGTTCGAGCCCGAGACCTTTGGTCTCGCGCGCGAACGTTTAATGTCTAGACCAGCGGGCCGGCACTCAACGGTGTTGATGTCTAACTTCGGTCAGTCTACGAGACTGAATGTTCTGGGTTTGGACCCCGAGTTCAGGACTGTGGATGCGCGTCCCATACTGTGGAAAAACGGCCGTCTAGTGCCTCCAAGATTTCAATGGTGGTCTGACGTTGATTCATTCATTATCTTGATTGAAAAGTATGTCTACAGAGACTGATCGATAAGTGTGCTTAAACTAATAAACTTATCAACTATGTTACAGTCTAAAATAAAACTTACTTCTTAGATCTTAGCGTCAAGGGTGCTAAAACAACTAGATTATTTAACTATAGAGTAAATGCCGAA